ATTCTGCAATGTCTTTTCTTAGTTTGCTGAATGTGTGGCTGTGACTGGGGGTCCTCGTAACAGTTTGTTTGCTTTTCAAGTCCTGGCCATCAAAACAAGTTAATACCTAAGAAGTGACTGCATTCCCAGTAATGACATGTCAGTTTGATGTCACTGGTGCTCTGTGAATAACTCATCTTGGGGTTTTGGTGCTGAACTGAAGAGATGAGAAGCGGTTAGATACTGAAATGTTTAAAAGGTTTTGATCTTGTAATCTAAATCAAAAAACCTGTTTGTTTTATAAGGAATCCACATTCAATACCCCATTGCATGTAGGAGGAGGAGACCATATGCAGGAAGAGAATATTGGCGGCGTACTTGTGTCAAAAGTACAAGGAGTGTGGGAGATTCATACTCTGTTCATACTCTGTTGCTGCAGAGATTCCACCTGTATTTCCCCCAGCCTACAATGAGGCATATGAGATTTTGTGCCTTTGGGGCTGGTGGGAAACACTGTCAAATCCTCTGTAAGATTTTAATGGAAAAAAGAGAAGAGCGCACATACAGGCGCTTGGGAATGCCAAACATACCTGCTGCTTTTGGTTCAGACCACCACTGACCCACAGAGTCTTCAGTCAGCTGAGGTAGCAGGATTGTTTCTACCACACTGAATGTAATTAAACTGAAGTATTGCATCTCTACATACAAAAGAGAGTCCATTCTGTTCAGAACAACATGCTGTATTCACCAGTTTAGGTGCTAATTGAAAAGGTGGGGCATTTTTTTCTTCGTATTGGTAACAAGTGTTTGTGGCCCAGAGAGGGGTGAGTTGTGGGATGTGTTTGATTCACAGAACACTGCTCGTTTCTGAACTGGTTCCCTGTAGTGAATGCAGTAAAGTAAGGTTTTTTTAAGAAAGAGAAGAAGAATCATGACAACAAAATTATGAAATCCTTTGGGAGAAATCCTTTGGGAGGGGAGGAGGGATGGCAGTCTGGACTTACCTTAAAAATTCCTCCTCCGCTTGCGGTCTGTTTAGAAATGTGTTCTAGCTGCAGGGAGCAAAACTATTAACCTATTTAGAAACAGGCTCTGTACAGCTATATTAGCATCATCCCTCCTGCACAGCTTGCTGCTTGTCTTCCTTCTCTTAACAAAATGCACTTTATATGTGCGCAGCTGATTTTTGTCTGGCTGGATTTCAGCTGGTGTAGACTGGAAGACAGTGAGTGGGTATAAAGTTGTGATAAAAGCACAGGTCATCTCTGTCTGTGGTGAATCAGTGGGACATTTGTCTCTCTGCTGCAGGAGGGGGTTGACATCTCCGTTTCAGGATGACTGGGGAAGATATTTCAGTATTTGTGGTGAGCAAGTGAAATCTGTGACCAGAATCCTGTTGTTAGCCAGTAAAAACTGTTTCACCTTGCAATTAGACGAAATTATTTTTAAAAGCCCATTTTGTAGCAGTTGTAAAAATCTGTCAATATATGCTTGTCTAACCCTCCTGGAAACATTGTGTGCACAACAGAATTTTGCAGTTGCTGAGGATTGTTTATTGGTTTTGTCAGAATTAATAGCATGAATTCTTTACATTCAGGAAGCAGGTTGTTTTTCCAAACTGTGATCTGCAGTGTTGCAATAATAACCGGTACCATGGACATAGTAACTTTCCAATCAAGGCACTCAAAGCTCTATACAGCAGTGTGGTTGTACTCCTGAAGATAAATTTCTGTATTTTTCACAATGTGGATGCAGTTTTTCATGCTTGTACTAATAGGTGTGGACTGTTCAGGGTGACTGCCAAATAGTTATTCTTAATTCTTAGTGGTTTCCTCTGCACCTCTCTGCAGGCTGGAAATCCGATTTCGTGTAGCTGATGCAGTAATATTGCTTTTGTCCATCTGTATAGGGATGGGGTGTCTTTTAATTTTGTTTACATTTTCACTTGTATAGTTCTTACCTATGCAGGGGAATACAGAGCTGTAAATATAGCAGTGCAGGCTGGCATGTTTGTGCATACATGCCCTCAGCAAAAGGATTCCTGTATGGATTTTTATCAGTGTTTACTTAGAGCAGTACAATTATACTTCCATATTTCCATAGGTAGATAGGAAATAATTTCGAGTTATGTGTACAGAATTATAAATATAAACATACAGGAGATTATGCATTTTTAAATCTGCATATTGGACTTTCCATTGCAAAAGCGTCAGGATCTGGCTTAAATACTTGAGAAATTACATGAAGATTTTCATGACTTAGGTGAGTTTAAGCTTCCAGTTAGAGCCTAAAAAATTTAAATCATGTTGTCCTAAATGTAGCATCCTTTTACAGACAAAAGAACTTCAGTAAAGAGATATAGACTGGGTGCTCAGGTGCTTGTTTGTGCAGCCCTGGATGGAGCCACATTTTGGATTTCTATGTGGAGGGCTGTTCGATGGTGGCAGCATGTGAAATTCAAGCTAAGTAGAGCAAGGAAATGCCATACAATTGTTAGTGTGAAATTTGACAAATAGAACAATTTTCTACCCTTGAGTGACTTAAAACCATTTGCAACCTTAATCCAAAAAGGCTCAGCTTAAAGCAGTGTTCAGCTCTAGAGATGAACAACAGCACAATAATCAGACAGAAGTGCATGGTTTCACTTCTCATGTTATTAGTGTACTGACAGTATTCTCTGTTTCCCCTGAACTTTACATGGTGCAGCAATCCAGAGGCTTTGCTTCTTCTGCCACTGAATCTGTAAATAATTTAATTCCTATGAACTTCATTGTTTCCCTTGTATAAAAAATGGAAATTATATTTTCCTTTGTTAAGATCTTCATTGCCTTGGAGGCAGATTTATAACTGCAAAGCGTTGTTAGTTATTATTGTTTACTTTTATTAATATGTGGTAAATTAAAAACTGTATTTCTCAGAAAATTAAATACTTTGGGTAGAGAAAAGAAAAGAAAGGAATACTTGGCATCTCACTTTTTTCTTTGCCCTTGATTTGGCTCTATTGCTAAGGTTCTCATCCACACCAGCATTTCAGATCCACTGGTCGGGGAAGCTGCCTGTGTTGCATGGAGACGTATGATGAAAACCAAGATTTGAGACTTCTTAACTTTTTTAATAGGAGATGCTTAACAAATGGATATAGACAGGATAAAAAGCATACAACATGATAAAAAGCATAAAATTCACTGGAATTTGAGTCACCTCTTTGTTCATACAATTTTGAATTTTCTTTCATGCTTTGCAGCATTGAGCAGATCAATTCAACCAGCGAACAAAGAGGGACGAAGAACACCTCATAGCTAAATTTCTTGTTCAGGTTCATTTCATATCATGATAAGAATTGGGTAGCAAAAAAAAACCCCCATTCTCTTGATCTGTCACTTTGGTGTTGTCCCTGTTCTCTGTAGCTCTTTATGGGCTTCCTCACTCCCTCATGTCAGGGCAGTGACTTTTCCACCCTTCCAGGTTCATTTTCATTCTTACCTGACTGACATTGTTTAATTTGCTGCCTCTGTCCCACAAAATCCAGCAAAGTACCTCTAAACCCACCACAGTACCTTAGCCAATTTGCATCAAAATGGATCAGCTCATGGTTCAAACACATTTTCCCAACACAGTTAATATGTCTGTGCATCAGTTGCTGGGCAGGCGTGAAGTTTAGGAGCACAGTCTGCTCCTAATCCTGCCTACCTTCTGTCCATGTGCTGTGAACTGCGGGCCTGGGAGAGTGCAGGGGGAGACAAATTGTCTAAATGAACCATTAAAGACAGTTCCTTCAATATGGGAGGGCGGTGCATTGGCAGGGTGGTGGCAAGGAAGCATATGTTAGGTGTTACTGTTCTGTTCTGTGGTTGGTGTGGTTGTCATCAAGTTCTGTTTTATCTTAACTTTCCTGAAATGCCAGTAGGCAATAATATTCAACTTCTTTGCTGTCACTGCATTCACACCTACACCAACTTCACTGCCACCCTAAACCACCACATTCTCAATTAAAATATGCTTCTGTAAGAGCTCCATGATTAAAAAAAAAAAAAAAAAAAAAAAAAGAGATATCATAGCTAATTTCTAGCATCAAGTGAAGTTTTCATTTTTATGAGTACAGAAGCATAGAATTAAAGCAAAATTCATGTTCAATATTATGTGAATACTTCCTTATTCAAAGCTATTATGGTCTCTCTGATAAGCAGAAAGAGTGTAGGTAATTAAAACAAATTTTTTAAATATACTTGCAACTGAAACATGTATTGTCATCACAATCTCATTGATGCATTATGTGTATAAATTGGGGCAAACTCCTTGCTGACTTGTACTGGGAGTTTTGAGATTTGCAGATGGTGGGAATCACCAGAGACTGCAAGCAGTATTTTTATAGAACTTTAGTTTTATTAGGTGGAAAACACACACAGGTAGACTTCTCTCACCAGGAAAAAGCATGGCTAGAGCAGAGGCAGAACAAACTTCCTGCAGTGATTTGCAATGTGGATTCACAGGGAAAATTCCCCCAGACAGAAGATAGTGCAATATCCACTGTCCATTCAATCCCTGGCCTGTTTCTGCAGTAATTATAAAAAATATTCCTAAACATGATGCACTTCTTCTTTTCCTCATTTTATCAGCAGATAACTTGGTGTTCTGGGCTTTTTTTCTTCAAGTTCCTAAATAAATGTCAGATGGTTCTTATTCTCTGTCTATGAAGCTGTGTACAACATTAATATTTACTAATAGAAATAAATTTCTCCTTTTTGTAAGATCCACTTCCTAGCATGTTTCCAAATTCTGTTCAGCTTTGTGACCAGGGGCTGGTCACTTTTCTTTGGAACAGTGTGTTTACTCTGTGGCCTTTGGAGAGATTGAGTTGCTGATGTCCATGCATGTGCATGGTTTGTAGTCTCCTGATTGCCACCCTCCATCAAATTAGATTGGATAATTAAAAGATAATGAATGCTTTATAAAACACCTTCATTTACAAAGGTGAAACAATGTCTTTTTGTATCTATTACGTTGTCCCAAGACAAGTTGAGATGAACTGCTCAGCTCAAGATGCTGGTAAGTGTTGTGGTTTCTGAGCTGAATGAGCCCTTGTGAGCGTGTCCAGACGCTGTCCCGGAGCACTCAGCACTCTGCTCAGTGTGGGAATCAGGCAGCTGAACTGCATCCAGCTGAAAAGGGAACAGGCAGGAGGTTCTTCCTCTGGCTGTGGTCAGAGCACTGCAGCTCCCCTGAGAGCATTGTGAAATACTTCACGGAGACAAGTACTTGGTTATTTGGGGCTTGGATGGAAAAATGGCAGTTCCAGCCACTCGGTGCCCCAGGCCATTAAACTGCTACAGAAGGTGAGTTATAATTGAAAGAGGAAAATGTTTCCTAATTAATTATGTAAATCCCAGTGCAGCACAGCCCAGCTGTATTTTCAGTAATATAATGTCATTTGTTGCACAGTTGCTCAGTGTGTTGTGAGCAACTGCTCATCTTAAGAAGCTACAGTTTTACTCAATTGTGGCTTTAGATTTAGGACAAAAAGCATTGTAAGATTTAAAAACAATGAAAAAACCCCAACACACCCACTCCCAACAACAAAATAGAAGAAACCATGTCCCCAAAATGCTTTGCAAGTTTCTTTATATTCATCTAATTCTGAGCCTGTCTATGCTTTACATTTTTTCACTGTAACTGAGAAATAGGGAATAGGAATGTGCTTTTTCATCAATTAAAATAGATATTTTCATGTCATCACTATCATCATATATCATCACTTCTATTTATGAGGATACAGCAAAATATAAAATATTATGGAACTTTTTTTGAAATAAATTGAGGAGGATTTATTTTTGTCAGCCTTCTTCCAGACAGACACTGGAACTTTTATTGAAGAAACTTTCCTCCAGTCATGTGTGCTTGAAACCAGACCTCAATCTCTTTCAGGTGTAGCAAGAATGTCTCTAACATTGTCATAATTTGCAGGCATCTCAAAAGGTTGGTCTGTGAGACTGTTGCATTTACACTTACTGGTTCTGTGAAAACCATGTGCTTAAATACCTGTCAGATGTGTTTCAATGCACTTACGTATAATGCAAGCATAACATAAATTATGTGTCAGCAAATAAAGAGTTGGGAATGTTGGTGAAGTAAAAAAAAAGGGGGGGGAGGGAAAATAAAATATAAGTAAACATAAATGTGCAGTATATTTGAAACTAACCTCTTTTCCATCCTTCTCCCTTTCTGTCAGTGCTGATGCTGATATCCAGTTACAAAGAGATGCCCAATCTCGTGCTCATGTGTAACCCTGTTAGCAGCTGGTCCAGCTGGAGGATATGAAGACCTGTCCAAAAAATATTAAATACAGAGGTGTCATGAGTCTCAGTCTTCACAAATGTACTGCAAGCCCCTCACAACTTCTGTTAGTTGCTCTTTTACCATTGCAGATCTAATTCCTAACTTGGATTGTGCATCCATAGGGAGAAATGCTCCACTTGCAATCATATTTTATAGTTCCCTTTGTAGTTTATTCTGACTTGTCATAGTTGAATAAATTGAATTCTGTGAAGTGCTCTTGTAAAATGGCACGCTTTTGGTTTTTAAATGTGCTTTGGTGGCATGAATGCAGCATTAGAGTGGGATGAGGAGCGGTGCTGAAGTTCGTGGATTGTAGCTCTGGGTTTTATTCTCAAGCTTCTCACCAGATTATTATGATTCAACAAGCCATTTTCAGGTTTTCTGCTCCTGTCTTCCATCTCTGTTAAATGAATGTGTTTTGGCTATGCAGCAGGTCTGTGCTGACACCCAGTTGGTTCTTTTCTGAACAGCCAGGCAGCAGGCACACTGTTACACATCAAGGAATGGCTGTTGCACTCACATACTAATTACCAGACTGCTGCCTTGTGCTTCCATCACCTTTTATTAAGAACAGACACTTTGATTTATAAAGTGTCTAAAAAGGAATCACTATTTTAGCATCTATTTATGTGGTGCCTGTCAGTGAGCTTTCCTTCCTTAGGTGAAGCCAGACAAAAGTAGCAGAAGAGGTATTACTAGAATGCAAACACAAAGTTAAGAATGTGCTTTGAGATCTTTGAATGAAGTATGCTGAGGATTATAACAGCTGTTTTCTTTCCAAGAAAAAAAGTCTTCCGAGAGTGCTAGCTCTTCACTGGATCAAACACAGGATCTTCCAAGAAAATGCTATCAAACACTGTTATTTTTATAGACAATTTGTCTGCTGTACTTTAAAAGCACCAGAAATTACCAGGGTGTCTCAATTCATCTGTTAGTGGCGGAAATCTCTCCATTAATGAGGTCTGAAGTTCTAAAACCTGACAGAATTTAGGAAGGGCATGTTTGCTCTAGAGTGCTTTGCCTCTTGAGGAGTGTGCTTGTTAATGAATAGCATCTTAATGGTGAAGCTGATACTAATTCAGAATTAATATCTGAGGTAGGTTTAACAACTAATAAAAATGAACTGTTTATTTACTAAACCTGGAATGTCATATAAGATGCATCTCTGTGCTTTAGGCAGCTAATGATGTTTTATATCAAATTTGGAGATGTATTTGTTTGTGAAGTAGTTTGATGTCATGTGGAAATCTGAGAAAAGAAATCTTGCTGATATGAGGAAAGAAATATGGGAAGTAGCACCACTAAAAAGGCTATAGATGTGATTTTGCAGAGTGACAGATTAATGAGTTCTAGGTGTCATACGTAGGAGTATCCCATGTTTTGTTTTAACTACTTAGTTCTAAAGGGAGTGTGTCGGGGAAGCTATTTTTCCATATTATCTCTGGAAAGAGAGGAAGGCAGGCAATGCGTCTAATTAGTCCCTTAAGAAAAATAAGTGTTTGAAGTGTTTGAAGGAGCATTCATTATAGGACTTGAAAAAATTGTCTTTCAGATAATTGCCTTCGATGAACTTCGGACAGACTTCAAGAGCCCCATCGACCAGTGCAACCCGGCCCACGCAGTGAGTACAGCCAGGGCCTGCGGGGCTGGGGCTGCTCCAGAAACGGGGGCACCAAGCTGTCAGTGAAGGATGAGTGTGGAAATGAACAGGGAGCCTCTTGTGAAGTCAGCTGTGGTTTGGAAAATTGATTTATTGGGCCAGTCTTAGGAAGCCAGATGGTGATTTTTATGTTAATGGCTTTCCTCTTTGCTGAAGGAGGCAGGAAAGTAATTTGGAAATTCAAAAACTAAAGAATTTCATGTGATGCTAATGCTTTCTTTTTTACCTTTTCATTCTGTGGCACAAGTTTTCCTTTTTGAAATACTTTGCTTTCTCTGTGGTTGCGCATGGGATGACCACCTTCTCCCATACTGCCTGAATCAATGAGCCAAAAGCTTGAAAGAATTTGTTAAGAGGTGCATGCCTGGACCTCTCTGTCCCATGGCAGGGCTCTGGGTTCTCCTATGCTTTAGGAGTAAATATAATTTTCTGCTGCATCTGCTATAGGAGAGCATTAAATATCTGGGACTGTAAACTCAGTTTTAACTAATGAACCAGAAATGCGGCCTAGATTTAAGCATATCCAAATTCCTCTGTTAATTAAAGATGTCATCTAGAGTGATTTAGCTGACTACAGCTACACATGCCAGTTTGTACCACCAGAACTGAGAGCAGAACTTGGCTCCCCATCACCTCACTGGCAATGACAATGATTATGACAGATGCTGAATTTGATCTCTACAGAGTATCAAGATTTGAATTGTCTATAATTCATAACCAGATTCAGCAACTAGTACTTTGTTATTTAACCTCGCTTCATAACTCAGCTGAGGACTTGTACTGCTTAGACCACTGATTATTTTAAGCATAAACTTAATAATCTGATAATAAAAATATATTTTTTTTTACTGTTCACTAAGGAAAGAATGAGAAGAAAAAAAAGAAATTATATAAATAAATCCTAGAGAGGACATCAGTGCATGTAATCTGGTTTTTCATTTACTGGAAGTAATCTGATTTTCAATCCACTTTATCTGTTTTTACTTCCTATCTGAGAACTGCACACTGAATTTATATGTACCAAATTCCAGTAATTGTTCACTTCCTAAAACTTGAGATGCTCTATGAAGATAATCTCATTTTATTTTAAAATGGTCATGGAATTGGTCTCCATGATGAAAAAAAAAGATAACAAGTTCCTTTTTCAGTCATATTAGTCGAGGAATCAAAAAGTGAATCATAAAGTAAAGCGCAGAAGAGTATTCGGTGGTTGGTTCACATACTTGACTTCCCTGAAACCTTCTGTGATAATTCAAGCAATAATCTCAGATTGCTTTTTTCTGCACAGCGTAAATGTCGATGCCTTTGATATTGTCATAAAGGGAAGATTTTTAGCAAGGATTTCTTATATCTTTGGTCAAGTGTATTTTCTTTTTTTCCCTCAGCACCATTGCTTGTGTCCGTATTCCATTTATTTGGTGGGGTAGTTTTCTCTGTTGCACTGTAAAAGTGTCTGAAGTTTACCCATGTATCCTCCACAGTGTTTTCATGACAGAAGGTAAAGCCTTTTTGACAAGAAGAGGCTGAACTAAAGACAAATCAGAGGCAAAAACAATGTCAGTACTGAGAATTTAATTCAAATTTCCTGGTTTGCTCTCTATTACTTTCAGTTCAGAGACAGACTTCCTACTTCTCCAAGGCCAGCTTCAGTTTGCATCCGTCTTTCCCTTGCCCCTCAGAAAGGCAAGGGAGCTTTCTGCAGCTTCACAGGCATATCCACACACATCCATTCTCATGTTTGCATCTGCGAGTCTAAAATTTCTGACTCTCTTTTAGCTCAGAGACTCCAAAAACAGGCACAGTATTTTTCTGGTGCCTATCAAGCTGCCACTGCCTCACTGTCTTTCCAAAATGATTTATTTTTTTTTCTAATGGCTTAAACTTGGGAACAGGAAAGCAAAAAAGACATTTATTTGGAGACTAGAATTAAATTCGCCACAAGGTTGAGTTTTCAAACATTTGAAAAGCAAAAAGCTTAGGGAGAGTTGGCTTCTCACATTGGTATAGTACATTACCCGTTTAAAGAAGTTCATTGTTTGGAGTATTTTCGCCATATCTAAATTAAAGTATCAATCACATAGTCTTCTGAGGAGAGCAAATCCACTCTGCCTTCTGCAGTGTAACTAACAGTAGAAGCTTCACAGTAACTCCAGTCATGGGGTTATGCAGTGAAATTTGATTTTGCTGGTGAGCTTCTCATTATGAGCCATTGAAAAGAAAGCCTGGCTTTGATTTGTCTTCTTTCTCTGAGTTGAGTTTAGAACATCTTTTGAGTCACAATGTTTAATTGCAGTGATTCTCAGTATTTATGAATGCATCTCTTGTTTAAAGTGGCATTTCTAGGCCATTTCAGATATTTCTCACTAAAGTGTTAAATTCTAGTATCACGTGTTCAGGCACCATCGTAGTGATAGAGGAGGGGCTGCCATGCAAACTTCATTGTTGTTTTTCCCACTCAGATTTATCTTGAAGCCAGAGGTTGGGTACCTGAAAATGCAAGACCAAGTCTGTGTGGTATCAATTGGCACAATTGGATAGAACCAGAAATGCTGACTGAAAAAAGAGCTGCAGCCTCTGACTGAAGGCTAGCATAGACTCGAATCCCCAGCTGAAACTGTTACACCCAGTAACAAGTGAGAAATAACTTAACTGGGACTTAGAAATGGGAAAATCATTGGGTTTGCAAGCAGTAGGTGAAAAGTGAATGCTGTCAGTTCAGATTAATAGCATGTGCTGCTTCACTGCAGCCATTAATTAAAACATTGACCCTTTGTAATTGTAATATATTGTCTTCATTTGTAACACCAGCTAATCTCCTGCCTTTCCCCCACTTTCTCTTGACAGAGGGAGAGGCTGAGGAATATTGAGCGGATTTGCTTCCTCCTGCGAAAGGTGAGCGTGAACCAGCCAAGGATTTGTGAAGTTTATGAGAATTAAAGCCATCCAGTGGCAATGTGCATTCATTTTCTCTTTGATCCTCACAGTCTGTTGATGAACTGAGAAGTGAAAGTCAGGATGACCTTGTAAGGACAGAGAAAGACAAATTATAAAAGGTTGACTTTATAGAGGGTGTCTGGATAAAAACTGAACTTCAGAACATCAGCCCATTTGTTTTGGGACAAAAAAGCTTTTCCAAGGTGGTGAGTCCTTTTAAAGTTGCAGCTGGAGGTTCTTTTATAGTCTATAAAACTGCTGTTATTGTTGTAGTACAGGCTTTAAAAACACCCTTTTTTTTGAACAGTGGCTTACTATTTGACTCGCTGAACATTTTTATTAGCTACATATGTAATGTTCAAGGTTTCTGGTTGAAGGAATAGAAAAGATGATAATAGTATGTATTTTAGCTTGACACAGGTGATAAGATGCTGAGTGTCTCAGCTTCAGAGAGGTTCAAAGGAGCTGATAGATTGTGGGTTACTTGTGTCTTCAAATAGGATTTTCATAAGCAATCTTTGTTTTTCCTGACTGTGTCCCATTGAAGTAAAAATAATCATGGTTCCAAACTATTTTATTCTGTGTTCAAGTTTCTGTGTTCTACAGAGTGGTAAGGAAGCCACCTAAATCCTGCTTTTTTTCCTTAAAAAGATCATCACTGCAGTGTGGACTGCTGAACACACCCTAATCAAGCTAATACCGAAATTCAGATGGGGATTTAGTAAACTGGTGACATCATCCTTGGAGGTTTTGGGAAAGCCAGTGTTGGGGATAATCACTTTGGTCTGCTCCAAAGGCATAACTATGACTCCATGCAAAACCTATGGGCTGCCTTCCTCTGCTCAGTCAGAACCTGAGCTGTGTCTGTTTGGCACCACTCTGAGCATGTGACTGCTAGGAGCCACATTTAAGTACTTCCTGAGCCTCTTTATGCCACTTGGGGTATGAAAATAAGGAAAAATACTTATCACCAATAGCTTTCCACTTTATCAAATAGGCAGCCAGCCAGTCTCAAGCTGTGTCCCAGTTTCTTGGACATACAGCAACTCCTGAGTGGTAATGGTTTAATATGTGTGAGCCCCATGGGAGTGCCCTGCCTGCATCAATGTTTAATTTTTATTGCGCCTTGGCCTTGTTGTGAACGGCAAAATGGAGTGTTTTGGATAATTGCAGACTCTGTATTCATAAGGGATTGGCTTGCTTCTGGTTCACTTAAATGGTTTGTTAATTCAGCCTCTTCTCCAAAGTTCTTTGGGGACACATTTGTTTTAATTGAGAGATTATATGCAAGAAGAGGAGGGTGCAATAACTACAGAGATTTGTAGCCTTCAAATCTGACAACCACTAAAAATAGCTGTGTTTTATGTAGTATAGAGGAAAATTGAGGAAAAACAGTAAAGAATTGAGTGCCAGCTATATTGATACAGGAATATAGCTGCTAGGATTCTTCCAGCAAGTACTAAATATATCCTTCAATATTGTGTGGCTTTAGGGTCTGTTTCTATTTCTGTGAAACAACAGCATACCTGTTTTGAAGTCAGGAAGTTATTTTATAGGGCTCTGAAAACAGTGGTACCTTGTTATTTATGACATCAGAACTTAATGCTTAAGAGCTAATGTAGATTTTTTGTTTTAAAGAGTTTATAGGTGGGCTATAAAAGTATGTTCACTTTCATTACATGGTTTTAGAAGGGGTCCTTGGGAATTTTTAAATTGTTAAATATGTCACAGAAATCTGATCCCAGTGAGCAAGGACTCTTTTAAGGATGTGTTTTTGGTTTTATCTCCAAAACACTTGGAGAAGTTTATTGAGAAACTGTGACCAGGTGTGTGATATTTCACCAGATATTATATAACTTATTTACATTTTCCAAAATAGAATGAAGGATGCAACTGTTCTGCAGCCAGGAATTTTTGGTTTGGGGAAAATGTTTATATATCATTAAAACAAGCAGGGTTTGTGTGAAACAGATATATGTGATGCTGGCATGCAGGAACACATGGGTCCTTGTTTCTATGGTGCTGTAGGATTAGATAAGCCTGAATTTTCTGTTTACTGGAGAATGACTGATTCTGCATAAAGAAGATATGAATGCTGGATAGCCACAGTCAGATCTCTCCTGTCTTGAAGTACATGAGAAGAAGGCTTATTTTTTGAACCCATCACCATGTGAGGTTCTCTCAGACTACAGGTGCCTCATTTAATTCATTCATATGAGGCTTTCTAGGGTAATTTGTGCTGCAGACTGTTGAATATCCCATTATGCAGACATTGGTTGCCCCACAAATGTCAGGTCATTCACACAGGACACACCGGTTTGAGCAAATGCTGTGGAGGCTTTTTTGCTATTAATTTCCTTTACTTCCCTAAGGATGTGATTCCATGGCTCACTGTATTTTGGTGGGGTTGTTAAAATAAATTCAGTTACTGATGACAGCAATATTTTTTAATTGTAATTGCAGTTGTATTTCAAGAAATCTGTCTAAACAATTGATTCCTTATTTTTTAATTCCTAATTGATACTAACGTTAACACTAAGGACAATTAGGAATTTCCTAGATTAAAATACAGTCAAATTCATTAATCAAGCACTGTAATATTATTTATTACTTTACCTTGGAGGAAATTTAAATTAAATTTTGATGAGGTTATGCATCATAATTTTTGAATTAGTTCAATAAATCCTTACTAAGGAGGAGGATTGATTGAACTTCTTGCTCAGTAAACACATTTCAGATTTCAGTTTGCTCGTGCCAGACACTGCTCTACAATTTAAGTAACCCTTCTCCAATTATCAGCAAATATTTGTTTTTAAAGCGCCTTAAGCTAAAATAAGAGTGATTTCTGAACATCAGAACTGGAACTTAACTGGGAGGGAGTAGAGGTAGATGAAAGACAGACTTCTATTCATTTTTCAAATGTAGTGTAGTATTTTAGTGAAGTTTTGCCTAAAATTCCTAAAGCTTCAAGTGTAAGAAAATACTGTACCAGAGCCAAATCCTTTTTCTTGATTTTATTTGGGGTTTTTTGGCTTTTCTTTCTTTTTTTCTTTTTTTTCTTTTTTTATTACAACTCCTGAAGGGATGATGGGAACAGAGTAAATTCAGCAAGAATTCTAACCACAGGCAAGGTGACATTAATCTCAAGGATGTTCCAGATGAACTTGAGCTGTCTTGAAAAATGCAAACAAATACGCAGACAAAAACCCCTGCAGGGGCTGTATTTGAATAACCAAACTCAGCCAGTTCAGCACTCCAATACTAGCAATAATATAGTAAATAGTGAATCAGGAGCTGGGGTGTTTAAAACAAAACAATCAAAACAAACAAAACAAACCTAAAAATCTCTTCACCTAATATTTTTTGAAGTAAGTTTTAATGTTTTAGTTTGGTGGTTGGGCAGTGCCAGTGCTTGGTCTGGTCTTGTACATCTGTCACTGTGGTTTCCAATGGAGCTGGATCAGCTGTAGTAACAGTGGAAATTTATTCTGTATTCAGTAGTTCTGGTGTTTACAAGGTTCAATTCTTGTTTTTACCACTTTGAAAAAGTAAAATAAAATTGTATTTTAAATTTATATTTCATCGTACATGCCCTAATACCCGTGATAGTTATGTTTTACTGTATTTACAGGTTTTGGTAAATAACCAAAACCCTTATTACCTCAAAGAGCTATTTTAGAAGCCATCCCATTCAGACTGAGATAGTGTAAATAAAATGTAAAACCTACTGAGTGCAATATAGAATTCCAGACACAGAGTGTCTGTATAGTTTTGTGTTTGTACATTTCAATATTTATATATTCCATAAAAAAAGTTAAAATTACTCACATGTGTGCAAGTAATCCAGAGACATGAACAAACGGGCGCTTCAAGGGTTATGGGTTAACACCACAGGTTCAGCTGTGGACCCAGCATTCTGAGAATGAAGATAAGGCTTGATCCTGTGTCCGTGTCATGCATGTTTGTTAGCACTGAATGCAGACTCTCAGAGTTTGAACAAAACCCCACAAAATGTTCAGTGAAACGTTACTGAGCTCGTTGGATCAGCTAACATGGAACAAATTAGCTTTTAGGCTTTTCCTTAATAGCAGAACAGGATTATTTGAGTATAGAGGTTATTTCTCTTTATATGTATCTAAATATTATGTGAAATCAACCTTGTTAAAAAGCCCTGTCTTTCCTTTTTTCCCTTATCCAGCCGACTACTTTTTTTCTCCCATATTTTGGCTGAAGGAGACTGACCAATATGCACTGAAGTAATTGCCATATGAAATATTTTTTTTTTTACTTGGACCTTGATAGGCTTCAGACCTTCACCTTCCAGAGGCTCCTACCAGTCCCTGCTTGCAGTAGCTACAGTGGCCACTGTCCTTTGAGGAGTGTCAGGTGTCCCAGTAGCTCATTTCAACTGACTGATCATTTTCTTTTCTTCTTGATAAATTTGCTGCTTATCACGAGGATTGCTCTCTCTGTTGTTCTGCCTCATAGTCACTGGCAAGCCTGAGATAATGTGATGGAGTCTCTCTAAAGAGTGTGGTTTTGGGTCTGTCTGTTGGTTGCTTCATCATGCATTTAGGGATTTATGGATGTGGGACATTCTTTTACCCGGTCTGCAGGCTGACAGTCATTAGCAGAGCACTTCTGTAAGCCTATGGCATGGTTCATTAAAATGTTTAATGTGAGGTTATATAAGCAAATTTAGCAAATGTGATGCATAATAACCAGGAATTTTGAAAGTGGTGTGTAATCATCCATATTTTAAGAAGGAACCACACTTTCTCCCTGAGGCTGAGAAATCTCTTAGGTGGAAACTACAGCAGCAAGACAATTAGTTTGTTGTGAAACTGAGAATAGGAGGAATGGTTTTACCTTGGTACTGCTATACATTTTTTACAGCCTCAATAAAGATGTTTTAATTCCTCATTAAGTTGGATTTAACAGAAAATGTTCCAGCATAA